CTATTCTATTCTATTCTATTCTATTCTATTCTATTCTATTCTATTCTTACAGCATCCCTGCGGTCACGTGATCAAAATTCGGACTCTTGGCAACTGACTCGTATTTATGACAGTTGCATTGTCCCAGGGTCACGTGATCCCCGTTTCACTACCTTCTGACAAGCAAAGTCAACGGGAAAGCCACTTAGCGACCGTGTGGCGAACTTAAACCATGGCAGTGATTCACTTAACACCGACAAGAAAGGCAGTGAAATCGGGCAAAATTCAATTAACAACTGTTAATAAACGTGCTCTGCAGCGGAAATTTTGGGCCTTGGTTGTGGTCATAAGTCGAGATGTACCGATATAAGGAAATAAACATAACATGGTGTCAACTAAAAAATACTTCTTTGGTCTTTTTGGTTGCCAGCAGAAAGGGAGTGGGGGAAAGTAGTGCATTCCTCAAATGCTTCAGATAATTGCTAAGCAGCCGGAGCTGATGGCGCGCAAGATTATTACCGGAGAGCATGATTGATGACTCTTGGCTATGGATGTGTCCCATTGGAGAATATACATCCAGGGGGTGGGGGGAAGACCAGGGTCAAGGGGGAAATGAATGATGTGTCTTAGTGTCAGCTGCACCCAGATAATGCCGACATGGTCACTCCTAATAAATCATTTATTTTTTACTCTGAGAGATGCGGCTAGAGATTTATGATTTGAATGGGGGTGTATTGTCAGAGCCTTGACACGTGGATTGTAAGTGGCCCAGGGTTAGCTTTGCATGGCTTTTCAGTTTAATAACAAGCAAGCAATCGAGCAAACAAACAAACTCCCTGGAAAATAAATTTGGGTCCAGTCCAAGTTTGGTCACAAAGTCTTTTATTTCATCAATACAGGTGATGGATTCTTTTGTGCCTGAGGACTCTGGAGGGTTAGAAATGTTGACTTTTGGAGTTACCAGGAGGTCCCTCAATATTTTGTTGTTAGGTCCCTGTAGATGGCATCTTCCTTGGCGGTGGGGGAGAAGGATGGGCAAATGGTCTCTGAGGCTGGTGGCTGATGGTTAGACGAGGGTGTTACCAGGCTACAGTAATCTTCATTTTCTTTTTCATAATCTGGAAGGCAATGTTATTAGTGGTTATTACCGAGCCATGGTGGTGCAGTGGTTAGAGTGCGGTACTGCAGGCTACTTCTGCTGACTGCCGGCTGGCTGCAATTTGGCAGATCGAATCTCAGCAGGCTCAAGGTTGACTCAGCCTTCTGTCCTACAGAGGTGGGTAAAATGAGAACCCAGATTGTTGGGGGGAAATAGGCTGTAAACTGCTTACAGAGGGCTGTAAAGCACTGTAAAGTGGTATATAAGTGCTATTGTTCTTTGTTTTCCCCTTCCTCTTCCTTCCTCCCTCCCTCCCTCCCTCCCTCCAGGTGTGGGATTCAAATTTTTTAACAACCGATTCTGTGGGCATGGCTAAGTTGGTTGGCGTGGCTGTTATTGGCTGGGCGTGGCCAACTCAATATCACTCACATCGAGGCACGCATCTCCTCGCCTGGCCTCTCATGACTGTGGGGATGCTGCAATAGTTGTAAGTGTGAAAAATGGTCATAAGTCACTTTTTTCAGTGCCATTGTAACTTTAAATGGTCACTCCACAGAAGCAAAGTACCAGCAAAGGAGGGGGAAAAAACTCCAGAGAAGTTCCTGAGACAGGAAGTCCAGTCCTGCCAAGAATGTAATAAGGGTTAATGGAGAGGCAGTTTTTGTAAGCAACACCAGAATGTTTCCTTCCTGCCTTCCTTACAGGATTAGGCCAGTAATTTCTTCTAACAACCGGTTTTCCGAACTGCTTAGAATTTAACAACCGGTTCTAGCGAATAGGTGCAAACGGATAGAATCCCACCCCTGCCTCCCTCCTTCCCCCCCTTCTATGATGTGCAGTGGTTAGAATGCAGCATTGCAGGCAAACTCTGCCCACTGTCAGCAGTTCGATCCTGACCGGTTGAAGGTTGACTCAGCCTTCCATCCTTCCGAAGTCCATAAAACGAGGACCCAGATTGTTGGGGGCGAGAGGCTGACATTTGTAAACCACTTAGAGGGTGTTGTAAAGCACTGTGAAGGGGTATATAAGTCTAAGGGTTATTGCTATTTATTTATTATTTAGCGTATGGCATATCACACACGGACTCGGAATAAAAATTAACCTGTCAACCAAATCGGTAGAACCCAATCAAATGTAAATGTCAAAAAAGGGCTACGTTCATATAACGGTAGTCCTCGACTTACAACAGTTCGTTTAGTGACCTAAGTCACAAAGGCACTGAAAAAAGTGACTTAGGACTGTTTTCACATGTATGATCTTTGTAGCATCCCCACGAATATGTGATCAGAATTCAGATGCTTGGCAATTGGTTCATACTTGACAAACAAAAGTCCATGGGGAAGCCAGATTGGCTTAACCACCACGTCACTCATTTAAGAACTGCAGTGATTCACTTAACAATGGGCAAGAAAGAGCTCAGCCTAAGGCAAAATTCATTGAACCATTTTCTTGCTCAGCCACATACATTTTGAGCTCAATTGTGGTCGTAGATCGAGGACTATCTGTACGTCCTAGTGAGCTTTGGAAGCCATATTGATATCAGATACTCCCATGCTGCCACAATTGAGAAAATGGGAGGGGGGAATTTCTTGGAGCGTATGTGGTTAGACATAGTAACATTCTTTTTCTAAATCAAGGTCATGTCATCTCTGCACCTGGGTGAGAGGACATCTCAAGCTGGAACAGATGGTGATTGGGGCATGTGATGTGATGATGGGTGCAGGGGGAAGATTTGTAGTTTTTACTTATTGCAAGGAAGCCCGGAACTTTCAGATTCGGGATTCCCCAGATGTGCCAGTTTACTATCCAAATAAAAAGGAACCTTTTGAGAAGATGTCTGTCTCGGAGTTACTGGGCAGAATGGAGAGTGGCTGGAACGCTGACATTGGAAACAGGACAAACCTTCAGAATATTTGCTAGGATAATCTTTGATTCCACTTGCAAGTAGGTGATGGAAATCACACATGAATTTGGTAGTGGAACAATTATTCATAGTTTATATCAGGGGTCTCCAACCTTAAGATTGGTGGACTTTAACTCCCAGAGTTCCTCAGCCAGCAAAGCTGGCTGAGGAACTCTGGGAATTGAAGTCCACTAGTCTTAAAGTTGCCAAGGTTGGAGACCCCTGGTTTATATGACATGAACACCTCAAAGTCATTATCTGATCTTCTACTAATGGTACTTACAGAGGCTTGGCATTGAGGACACTCTGCTGACTCAGCATTCTATTCTCTTCCCTGGGGAGGGGGGGAGAAGGAGGGGGCGAATTAAGAGGTATATGTGACCAGGCTTAAATTACTGTTCTTCAGACATACCTCATGCAAAAATCTAGCTCTCTGGGAAAGGTCCTAAGGTTGGGAAATGTGGAAGGAAAGAAGAAGAAGAAGACAATTAGCAGTCAGGTTACAGCAGTGATGAGTTCACTGTTGAAAGAGTTGGAAAAGCAGGATAGGGACAGATCATTGTGGAGAAAATCTATCTACCAGTATGGGGGGTCACTTGAAGTCCACATAACAAATGGTGCATCATGCATGCATGCAAGGATGCATGCATTCACCCACTCACCCATGCATGGATGCATGCATGCATGCATCCATCCATCCAGCATCCATCCATCCACCCACCCACCCACCCATCCATCCACTCATCTACCCTCCTATCCACCCACTCATCCCTCCCTCCATCTATCCACACATCCATTCATCCATCCATCCACCCATCCACTCACCCACTCAGCCATCCATCCATCCATCCATCCATCCACTCATCTACCCTCCTATCCACCCACTCACCTACTTATCTCTCCTCCATCTACCCCCTATCCTTCCATCTATCTCCCCACCTATCTCCCCACCTATCTATCCATCCATTTATCCATCCATCCATCCATCCATCCACTCATCTACCCTCCTATCTACCCACTCACCCACTCATCCCTCCTCCACCTACCCCCTATCCTATCTCTTCACCTATCCATCCATCCGTTTATCCATCCATCCATCCATCCACACATCCATTCATCTATTCATTTACCCATCTACCCATTCACCCACTCACCCACTCAGCCATCCATTCATCCACTCATCTACCCTCCTATCCACCCACTCATCCCTTCCCCCACCTATCTCCCCATCTATCCCTCCGTCCCTCCAACTATGTCCTTGGTTTAGCCAGTCACAAGTTGTTCAAGGATGATTAGGAACAGCACAATGGACTCCAAAACATCTAAGTCCAGTTGGAGTTTTCAGATGAGCTAAGCATCTACTGCTCCAGCTATGGTCATTAAGAGCTTGAAACAGAAGCTTCTCGTACTTGTTGTACTTACCCAGATAAAATGCTTTGGGTACTTAATCTCTGTTTACTTGTAATCTGGCTTTCCATCCTACGAAAGGGGTGAAAGGAAGACAGATTTTTTTCAGAGATGTGCATTCAAAAGAAATCCCCTCTTCATCTTCTTCTTATCCTTTCCCAAGAACCTCCCTTGAGTAGGTCTGCTTGTACAGATCAGACCGAAAATACAGGTAAGGGTTACAACAGTTTCTTTGGTGACCATTTGAAGTTACAACCACACTAAAAAAAAAAAGTGACTTATGACCAGCCAGTAAGTTTTTCCCACTTATGACCATGGCACTATCCCCATAGTCACGTAATCCAAATTCAGATGCTTGACAACTGACTCCTATTTATGATGATTGCAATATCTCCGGGTTATTGTTGTGGCCCGCCAGTGATAGGCAGAGCTGGTGGCAGATTCGGACAGTGAGGAGGTTGGGGAGGAGCCTGGGCCAGTCCTGGAGTCTGGGGAAGGCTCTGACGAGGGCTCTGCGTCGGAGGCAGAGATGGGGCCAGGGCCGTCTGACAGTTATCAGCTGCCTTCTGAGTCAGACATCAGTAAGGCAGGAGAACAGCTGGAGCCTGTTTCCAGTGTGCTCATGCGCAGAGCTGCCAGACGAGGGGAACAGCTAAGGAACAAGGATCGACTTGGGAGTAAAGCCACAGGTGGACGGTGAATGGCCCCTCCCATAAGGAATAAAAGAGGAGCGAAAGGGGAGGAGTGTTTGTAGGAGACCCTTAGTTCCTTCCTGCGTTGTTGCCAAGTATTGTGGCGCATGAAAGATATCAGCCTGGTCACTCGCCAAGCCTGTTAATGGCCTATAATTGGGAACTATCTTGAAAGACTGCTGGCTGGGACTTTGCTGGGGAGGAATTCATTGTAAATTAAATAAAAGGGATTTATCAGGACAAGGAGTCGGCTTTGTGCTGTTGGGGGGAAGCCTAGGTCAGTAACAGTTATGTGATCAACTTTTGTGACCTTCTGGCATGCAAATTCAATGTGGAAACCAGGTTTATTTCCCTCCTTCCTCCCCCCTCCCCCCCCAAAATGAAAACCTGATACAGATAATCAGGGTTGGAAGGGACCTTGTAGGTCATCTAGTCCAACCCCTTGCCTGGAATGCTTATGTGCCGTAGTTCAGATCTGAAACGTACTTGGCTTGAGAAATCTCCGCACTTCCCAGCTCCGCAGTACGTGCAGGCCTTAAAACAGAAGAAAACACACAAACACACACACACACACACACACACACGCACATGGACACCAAGACACAAGCACACAGAGAATGAAAAATTCAACTTATTTATTTATTTCTATCCCACCTTTATTGTCTTTACAAATAACTCAAGGTGGCAAACTTATCTAGTACTTGCTCCTCCTCCTATTTTCCCCAACAACAACAACCCCTTGAGGTGGGTTGGGTTGAGAAAGATTGTGATTGGCCCAAGGACACCCAATTGGTTCTCATGGCTAAGGCGGGACTAGAACTCACCGTCTCCTGGTGATTGGCCCAAAGTCACCCAATTGACTTGCATGGATAAGGTGGGACTAGAACTCCCAGTCTCCTGGTGATTGGCCCAAAGTTACCCAATTGACTTGCATGGATAAGGCAGGACTAGAACTCCCAGTCTCCTAGTGATTGGCCCAAAGTTACCCAATTGACTTGCATGGATAAGGCAGGACTAGAACTCCCAGTCTCCTAGTGATTGGCCCAAAGTAACCCAATTGACTTGCATGGATAAGGCGGGACTAGAACTCCCAGTCTCCTGGTGATTGGCCCAAAGTCACCCAATTGGCTTGCATGGATAAGGTGGGACTAGAACTCACCGTCTCCTGGTGATTGGCCCAAAGTCACCCAATTGGCTTGAATGGATAAGGCGGGACTAGAACTCACCGTCTCCTGGTGATTGGCCCAAAGCCACCAAATTGAAAACCCACAACTTCCAGGTTGCTTCTGTCCTTGGTTAGTTTCCGTCCATTGTTTCTCATCCTGCCTTGTGGTGCTTTTTAAAGTAAATTGACCCCTTCCTCTTTGCGGCAACCCCTCAAATACTGGAATCCTGCTATCATGTTCCCCCCTGGTCCTTCTTTTCTCTAGACTAACCAAACCAAATTCCTGGAACCATTCTTCATATGATTATTATTTTTTTTGTCTCCAGGTCCCTTAACCATCTTAGTTGTCTTCTTTTTTACCCCCCCAAAAAAAAGTTACAAAGAAGTTGTAAGAAGTCTCCTTTCTTTAAAAAAAAAACATCACAAAAAAAAGATAGAACGAAATGTTACCTTTTAACACGGCCCACAGTCCGGTAAAGCATGAGTGAAATAATGAAGGCAAAGCCAGTGCCACTGGAAACGATGATCCCTAGGATGGCTAACGGAGACAACGTGTTTCGCTCCAGGGCGTAGTAACTTCTGTCTGGGAAGAGAGAGAACAGTCGTAAAGAGCTGGGAAAGGGGCTATGCACGCCAGAGTTGGATTATTAGAGCTTTAAAAAGGCATTTCTCAAGCTTGCCAACTTTAAGGCATGTGGAAGTCAAGGCCTCTTGAAGCTGCCAAGGTTGAGAAACAGCAGACTGGCTCTCTGCTTGGCATGGCATAATAGTCTAGGTCCACGCTGGCTGGGGAATTCTGGGAGTTGAAGTCCACCCATCTTAAAGGTATAAAGGACAGGCAAAGATGATGAAACCTTTGCAGGAAGCAAAGTCGTTCATTCGGTTCAGCTTCATTCTTGAAGCTCTTTGCATTTCGGTTGGTTTTTTTTTTTCTAGTTCCTTGGACACTTCTGTTATTGGCAGCACTTCACAGGAAAGGAAGGTGGGTGCTTATCTCGAGGGACTGTTTGAGATTCATTACCGGCCGGGAATGAAAATAATTCCCAGCATTGCAATAAAACCAGACTTGTTTTTAAAACAAGTGTATGCATAATTACAGTCTTCTTTGTCAGAACACATGCCAGTAATTTGGGGAGTGGTGTCAAGGTGGCCATTCCCACCCAGTTGGCCAAACCCACCCAGTTGGCCATGCTCACCCAGCCTCCTGAGGTCAGCCACAGCCCTGATGCAGCCTTCAATGAAATTGAGTTTGACACTCCTGTATTGGGTGTCAAATTGACCCGAATAGTGGAATAGAAATTACCTCTGATTATTAAGCTCGTGGTTCCCACTTCTGATCGGTTAGCACTCTTCTTATACACAGCGTAGAAGTCGGAGTCGGTGGCTATAACGTCTCTAATAAGTAGCGCGCAGTCTGGCCTGATGCGTTCACGTTGGCGGCTGGCGGAGCCGTAGACTACGGTATTTTTCTTGGGGTCATAAGCTAAGATCTCAAAAAAGTTATTTGTTTCCCCTCGGTACCAGTGGCAGGCTGTGAGGTTACTCTTCACTCCGGATGGAGTTAGGGACACGTCCCATCCGATGTCGGGATCGTCGGGATCTACCCTCACATCAATGGTGACATTTTGTGCTGCTGCACCCAACTGGAAGCCAGGGGGTTTCAGGAGGTGATCTGGAGGGGGCGGGAAGGAGGAAAAACACCGAAGAAGTCCCCTTCGAGCAGACGCCACACCCAGGAGAGCACCATTTGGAGAAGGGAAGCTGTGTACAATAGCACTTAGACTTATATACCACTTCGCAGTGCTTTACAGCCCTCTCTAAGCGGTTTAGGGAGTCAGCCTCTTGACCCCAACAATCTCGGTCCTCATTTTAACTGACCTCAGGAGGATGGGAGGATGACTCAACCTTGAGATGGTCAGGATCGAACTTCTGGCAGTGGGCAAAGTTAGCCTGCAATTCTACATTCTAACCATTGAGCAACATGGAAGGGAGGGAGGGAGGGAGGGAGGGAGGGAGGGAGGGAGGGAGGAAGGAAGGAAGGAAGGAAGGAAGGAAGGAAGGAAGGAAGGAAGG